AGCAGGAATTTGTCTTTTTTTTTCAATCTTCAAAATTCTGTTTTTAATGAGAATAAAGCTTTTTAATACAAGTGGCTGACTTAACCCTGCAGATGAAAATGAGGCTGTACCAAGTGAAAATAACTGTTTGCTATTGTTTCTGGCATGAGTAGAGACTGAGTGAGGTGTGTGATGAAGATTGGAACTTCAGGGAGGATAGAGCACTTCCTGTCTGTCTGTACTTGTTTCCTTTCTAACATTTGTTTTCCAGCATAACTGGATATTTTGGCTAATTAATCCACCTGTTTTTTGAAAAAAAAAAAAATAGTGTGACACTATTTCAAGCTGAGAGTCCTTTAGTTTGGAACAAACATTCCTTGAGTTGTATGTATCCTGTAGCCTAAGTATTTTTGTATCTAAATATTGTGTACAAAGTGCTTACGAAAAGGCTAGGCGTGGGGTTTGGATACAATATAACTTCGGTCACTTGCTGCCTCAAAATAAGCTGCTGTAGATGACAAAAGTAGCTGTGCCTGGGAGGTACTTAAAGGTTAAGTTGCTACGGAAAATGATTCACAGAGAAGGCTTATTCATCCCTAGTTGTCTGTAAGCTTTTCATTTTCAGGAGGTAAGCAGGGATTGGGCTGCCCGGGGCTCTGGGCAGTTTAACTTTACCCGTGTTTTGCTGCAGATTACTTAGGTATAGCGAGAGGCTTCCTCGGTGTGGGGACACTGCGGCAGCCGCTTTGTCAGAGGGAGCATGCAGTGACGGGAATGCTGCAACCCAAAATGTTGACTATTCAAAGCCAGTGTCATATGAAAATCAACTTTCTGGCTAGCTTGGAATAAATAGAGCTGCATTGTGCTAGAATTGGGAGACTTTTTCCACAGAAAAGAACTTCTATAGGAATTGCTTGGGGGGTTGGGGCATGCAATTTGTTCCCCTCCCCGACTGAAAAGGAGGTGCAGGTAGATATAAGTGAGAGATTGGGGATTGTATCGGACGTGAGAGGCCGCCGCAGAGCAGTTGCCTCGCTAAGGACGTTGTGGAGGGAAGGAGAAGCGCTCCGGCCAGTGCCGCGGGGAGCGAAGCGCTGGTTTGAGGAAGGAAAGTCGCCGGACAGGGTTGAAGGAGAAAAAGTCCCCACCTTCTCACATTGTGTAAAAATATATGGAATCTCCCTTAAAATATTTATGTGAAGAAATGGAAGTGATTTGCTGGCTGTGGAAATGCTGAGTCATCCCCACCCCCTCACCCCCAACATGCGGCAAAAACAGAGCCATGAAATGGCATGCTGGCTTGCGGGATGAGTGAGGGGGAGTTTGCTAATCCTATTGCACCTCAGCTAGTTGTGGAATGGGGAGGAGGAAAGGAACTGTGTTGTGGGCTTGCTGCCCCTAAGAGCAGTGTTACAACTAGCCCCTTGGTGAAGGACTACAAAGTAGCATCCTGCGTGATACAGCACAGCATGGTGCAGACCCAGGGCACTCTTACCCCCAGTAAGAGCAAAATGCTTGAAAAAAATATACTTTCCCTGAGAGAATACTGTTTTTCATTTCTGTGGAGAGCTTTTATAACATAGGGAACCTCCTCCCCATGATGGAAGAGTGACCACAGTATGTGACAGATTTTCTGATGGCTTTGGGAAGCTGTAGCAGCAAGTGTTTTTCCTCCAGAATGAGAACTGCAGTTCATGATTATGTAATAAAAATGTGAAGGAAAAGCAAAACCCTTTTCTGCTAGGAGTGACCTGAAAAATGTTGTTGTTTGTTTTTTTTTTTTTTTCCCAAGGTAAAAATAAACAAAAAAACACATCTGAATTGCTAATAGACAACCCCTGAGCATGAATTAGTGTCAAAGAACTGTAAGATTGTACAGAGAACTGTACAATCTGAATGTTGTAAACCACTGGATTATAAAAGAATCCTAATGCAGCATATGACTGAGAAACCATTTGTTTGTTTGTTTGCTTGTTTGTTTTTTCCATGTTTTCCTTCACAAATTTCATTGCTCCCTAGGGCAAATGTGGTGTGGTCCACTTTCTGATAGTGCCCTCTCCTCACTAAATAAGGAGTGTCAGGGCTAAAGCACTTCATTGTGCATTTGAAGCAAGATGCATTAAAAGTATAATACACATACAAAAATGTATCTGTAAAGGCTGTGATTTGATCTCTCGTTCAGCGCTCTGGCTTGTGCTGATGCTTGTCTGAATTGACTCACTGCAGCAGGGACAGTGGATGCCACTGCGCATT